ATAATTTAATAAATTGCTGATTTATATCTTATTTTTATTAATAGAGACTAATTGCTCGAGGTGACAAAGACGGTCAAGCACAGAGTACTAATTACACAATGAATGCTGTGACTATGGATAACAAAAGTAAATGATATATTTGTTTGGGTTTCCATAACATTTTACTAAAAAATGAACGACTTCTATCAAAGTGGGAAAGCCGTGATAATGTGAAAAGTACAACGGTCAATGTCTCTTATGACGCTTCATTTATGATGTGCAGTTTGACGAGTGGAACATTTGACAAGAAGAAATCGTCAATATACCGGTAGTCAAAATTAGCATGTTGTCAAAATGTCCATTTTTACAGTAAATATATTAGATATTGACAATGTTTAGGCTTGAGCATCACTGAAGAGACACAATTGTCAAAATGTGAATCAGGTTTAATTCATTATTTTTTTTTTATCTATTTATATTTCTACTCATTTTGGTTAAGTTACTGGAGTACTGGTACATTCATTGTATTTATTTGTTATTTTGTTTTATTATCATAGCTGGTATTTTAAAATGTAATATTAGCATAGCGAAATGCCACTCTCTCACTCTCTTTATTTTACATCTGATTAAACTTTGATAGAAGAATCCCTTTAAAACTCCACTGAAAGAAAAGGGTATATGTACTTTAAAACCACATATATTTTCAAAGCACTTTATTTTTGCATATGCTGTCAATTATATTGATAAAATGTGCATATGAGATATGGAAAGCTATTGAGTGAGCATAAAAAATATCCAAACAGGCATTTTACTAAGTATTGAGAGTTGGATATGATAATAGATCCTGCGCGTGATTGATGTTGTTCGTCACTCAACATGAACTAATTCTATCCCATGATCGTATGTGTTTGCATAATGAAAAAAGACCCAAATGACACTTAATGCATTCCTTTATTCTCTTAAAATTCTTTGATTATCAAGTATCAGTTTTTTTTCCTTCTTGATTGCAATTGCAATTAAAAAGAAATAAATTATTAAAAAAAAAATTATACCTTTGTGGAAAGCATTCTCAATACCTTTAAAAACATGAAACATTCAAACAGGTTTGCCATATGAACTTGTATTGTAGATTTAGGTGAACGTTAATTCAGTCTTTTAAGTGTTTATTTTACCTGTAGATGTTTCAGATGACTGATGTTTAATTCTTGTATCAAAAGTAAGCAAGAAGGATACGTTTTATAACTTCATTTTTTTCAAATAATGAATACATATTGATTACGTTGGTTGATTACGAACTGTATGTATAGGGGAACAAAATTTCAAAGAACTACGTACGTTAACTGTTGATCTCCGCCTACATTTTACACCTATTTAATTCAATATTAATGACAAATGTATAATAATTATCCCTTTTTCTTGCTCTTTAAGAAGGGGGGTAGACGGTATTTTCCGTTGAAACCCGTCTTTACTCCATCGCCATATTTTAAATACTGTGTGTTAGTTGATAACCCCTTTGACATTGGTGAAAAATTAAAACCTTTGTCATTTTTTTTGTCAGTAAATATATCCCCCCCTTCCCCGTGAAACACAAAAAGCTTTGGTATGAATTTGTGAACTGACAGTCTATATTACCTGTATAAAGGAATTTTGTTTCACAAGGGGGGGGGGGTGTTTTTAATTATTTTTCCGTTTTTCGTTCATTTCTACAGTGAAAAACGCGAGTTTTACCATAATTATAGGTATATCTCTCTTTGTTTTCCCAAATAAGTAATGCTTTATGGAAATCCATGTAATGTGAATATAAAATAAAATGGAAAATCATTCAAATATATTAACTTTTGAAAATTGGCTTGGAGGTATTCGGGAGAACAATACTATCGTTCGTAGTTCTTTCTCTAACTTAGCTACATTGTTCATTGCTTTAATTTTAATGTATTCATTTCAATTTACTCAAAATGACAAGAAAAGAGCAAACAGTGTATACTTGAAATTCGGACCAATATAAGTCCTTTCCCGGTATTATTCCCGTATATACTTATCATGAGTTTAGTCATACATGTTTCAATGGGATTGATCATTTTTTATAGGTCAGAGGCAGGTATACTAATTTTAAAGGCATGCGTTTTTCTTTACTGAGACAAAAAGCCACACCCTTGTGTAAGCCAGGATTTCCTCTGGTATTCTTGACAACATTAAATAATGCAAATATAAGTAATAAACAGCGATTATTTAGTGAACATGCCACTGTTGGCATATTTCCATGATGCGCTAGCGCGGGCATCATGGAATATGCCAACAACAGAGCAATATTAGGGGACGACCATTTGATCCTGAGGGGGGAGGGGGGGGGGGCTGGCAAAATATTTTGAGAGGGATTATTTTCATGCCTGTCGAGGACAGATTATTATTTATTTTCAAGATTATCAAGGACAGATTATTCATTTTCTTCTTTGTCTTCCCGTACCCTATTCAATTGATTCTAAAAGACTAATCATTTATATACCATAGGCAGATATAGGATTTGGGGAAGGGCGTGTATAACTTTATTTAGGCAAGAGGTCTGGGACGGGCGTAAGGCCCGAAGGTCCTGGGCAAAGCCCTGATGCCAATTTAAGGGAGTAACACCCCCTCCCCCAAAGCTCTTCGGTTGTATTTTAAGAGTAAAACCAGGCACTATAAATATTATAATAGTGGTATTGGTTATTATGAACCAAAGTATGACATAATTAATACTGGTCAGACCATACTTTGAATGAAGAGGGTTCAGGGGGCGAAGCCCCGTGAAGCTTTTGGGTTTTTCTGTATGTAAAAGAGTAAAACCAGACACAATTGTGTAGGAATTGGTTAGATATGTACCAAGGTATGACATTATTAAGACTAGTCATATCATACTTTGAATGAAAAGGGCCCAGGAGGCAAAGCCCCCTGAAGCTCTGGGGTTTTTGTGTATTTTAAGAGTAAAACTAGGCACAAAAATATTGGTATTGTCCCAAAATATGGCATTATTATTATTATTATTCGTATCATACTTTGAAATTTTAGGGGAGGGGTTGTACACATGTACGTTCGACTTGAATCCACCAGTGTATATTATACATTTATTGACTGAGTTTTAGGGCAACATACCTTTTGTCGGACCCAAGAACCAAACTGTCTGCCTGAGGCCGTTAAGCCGAAGGCAGACAGTTTGGTTCGAGGGTCCGACAAAACGCATTTCGCCCGAAAACTCTGTCAATAAATGTTTTGTTATACCTTTCATTTCATTATATATTTTTTGACAAACATGTATTTTGTAATTTATTCCGTAATGTAACATCAGGTCTGTTACTGTTTAACATCAACGAATGAAAATGAGATTAAGCTCCGCCCATTCTGTGACGTAAGCGGTCCAACATCTCCCCGAGCGGTCCAACATCTCACTCAGCGGTCCAACATCGATTTTTTTATGCCCGCTCAGCAAAACATTAAAAATGTTAGACTTTTTTTTCATATAGATGTGTATAGGAACAATTCTTTAAAGGTATAACAATTTGTATTAATTTATCAGGGAAGTGTAATTCTTCGAAAAGAAAATTTATCTTTTGTGGTCACAGGCACTTGTTTCTATAATAAATTTTTGACCTATAGTATAATAACACGTGTTATTAATATACTATAGGTCAAAAATTTATTATAGAAACAAGTGCCTGTGTTTGTGGTGTATAAGAATTGGCTTGTATTTAAAGTACTGTTATTCATCACACCTACTAAATGCGCATTGTCATGTTTACAAACTTACTTAAGTATCCAGTCTGGTAATCTGGTAAACATTTTTGAATTGAAGACTTTTGGGATTAAAATACACGTAAAAAAAGTATTTTCACAATATTCAAATATCATAAGTAACGGTCAGATTATTTATTTTCTCTGTAGTGGAGGAAAGATTATTTTAAATAATTTTCAGCATTTTCAGGGACAGATTATTTATTTCCAAAATAATTTTTGTTTATTCAATATATATATATATATATAATTCATTTACTGACTTTTTTCAATAAAAATTTCAATATTTTATTCTAAAACGCAAATTCTAAAATCATAAAATTACTATAATATTTCTCAATGAACATTTGCTTGGGCTGAGGTGTCTTATGTATGGGCCGACCCGTCTTTCATCTTGGACCGACCTGTGTGAGCCGAGTTGTCATTGGGCCCAGGTGTCATAGGGTCAAGATGTCTGACATTCGTACCGGGAAGGGGGGGGGGCGTATGCACACATATGTTTTGCAAAGATATGCATAATAAAGGCATTGAAAAATTGGGACAAGTAACTTAGGGGGTCCTCTTTCAATTTGCTACCGACGGCTATGTACAATACATGTATGAGAAAAAAGGTCTAGTTGGACTGAGAGACCTTCTATACTCGTCTTCTCTTTGTTCCCAATGAGGTTAAATAAGTATATGTAAATTAAGAGTTTTTCGAAAGATATGATTATTACGAATTGATTCTCTCAATTCCTCAAATATAAGTATAGAATTTTTTGTTTTACACATATTTTTTTTTCAAAATGCGTTAAATGTCCCCATGGTAAAAATGTTTATGTGAACTCTTAAAGCACTTTGAATTTTTTTTTTTCAAAGTGCGTTGAGTGTCTCCCAAATTTAACGCACTTTGAATTTTTTTTTTTCAAAGTACGTAATTTTTCAAAGTGCATTGCCATACTGCATTTATCATTAACAAGTGCATATTTTTTTACTTCACGGAAAAAAGAATTATTAATCTCGAGTATCTGATGTATATATATAATATCCATAACATCTGTTTATGACAATCTTTAAAAAAGTTCAGACTACAATTATCTACTGAAGAACAATATTGCTGATATATTGCAATGGAAGTAAGTTTGGGGTTTATCATTTCTTATTCCACTCATTTAAAATCATAGACACGAACATTTCCAGTGATGTGTAAATACATATCGGGATCGAAATACTTCGGAAGGCCTCGGGTACCAGGCTACTCTTATCCAAAGACCAAGTCCAAAACGCAGACGTTGAAATGGCGAAACGAGTATATATATCATAAGTCACTGTAGAAAGCAATATTTATGGGAAGAACAGGTGTGAAATAATTGGTAATCAAAGTAAGGTCATATAACATAACCCATTATTTGGTTTGTTTACGATAGAGTGTGCGTATAAAGTTGTTAACAAGGAAGTAAATAATCCATAGGATAGGGGTTTGTCTTCCGCATTATTGAATGTAAAATAACAGGGATTTTTCACCCCAACGGCCCTTGCCATATTATAAAGTTTTAGCCAAATTTTCAAAAATTTTGTTCATTTCATTCAGAATTCAAACCTAACTATGTTTGTTTTACATGAATTTTTAAAAAAAAAAAAATGAACACGTGCTGTTCATTTTTGGGGAAATTGGAGTGATTTTGCAATTGGGAATGGATTCCATATTCCATATAGGCTAACCACAGTTAATCTCAGCGAGACGTCGTAGCCATAGGGACTAAAAATTAGGTCTGGTGTCCCTCGACATCTCAGATCAATGTCACACAAAGTGAGTAGGACTTTTTTGCCCTGAATTCGACTGCTTGTTTCAATCAATACGGGCTGAAATGAATTAGCTGCCCACTTCAACTTTTTCTTTGGACGTCACGTCCATCCCTTTAAGTACTAACTTTCCTCTCTTGCTTTGAAAAGGTTTAAATCCAACAAAATATAAAGTTGTTGATTTTTCATAGAAATATTCCATTCATTTAAGCCTCTAATTCTGATAAATGCCGCAATAGTCTGCTTCAAATACTTCGTACTATAGTTCATTCCTATAGGAAATACAGTAAAACTTGGCTATAACAAATTCACTGTGACCTTAGAAATTACTTTGCTATCTCTGTAATTAATTATATCCGTGTAAGGATTTGTTAAATTTTGATAGATGGAGATCAAAGATAACTTCGCTATAATTGAAATTCGCAATGTCCAGTGATTTTCTTTTTAAAAAGGGACCTGGGCCTTTTCAATTGGGAAAAATTGTCGACATTTGTGTCAAATTGGAAAAAAGAATAAGATTGTAGTTATCGTTCATATTGACAAGTAAAATAAAATATATAAGTAAATGTAATATCATTTATTAAATTTATTTGCTACAAAATTTTGAACAAAATGGACACAGTTCTGTAAATTTAATTCTCTTTCATTTTTGATCTTTGATTGTCCTATATTCCATTTTTTGCCATAATGGTAGACATAATTACAAAAAAAAATCATAACTGATTTCTCGTTATTGCTCGCTATGGAATAATCTAATCTTGACACGATTTACAAGTATGTATTGCTGTATTTCTCTGCAATGCTAGTATCTGCAGGATGAAGAAACAGTTTAATTGTCGTGAAATCAGGAAACTAAAATAATACGTTTTGAATTTGGGAAAAAACAGTTGAAAATTGGGAAAAATCGTGCTGGTACTAAATGAGTTTTACCTTAGTAGTAGAACTAAGTATTCGAAGCAGGCTATTGCAGAACTTTTCAGCATCAGAGGCTTAAATGAATGGGATATTTTTATGAAAAATCAACAAGTGTAGATTTTGTTGGCATGTAAATCCTTTGGTGGAGGTGGGTCACATCAAGACATCATAGTTATACTTGGGAATGCATAAGAAATGTCTTTTTAAAAATCTTTTAAAAAATGATTAGAAAGAAATATCCCTGGGCAGTTTAAATGAAAGTTTGTTAAAATCATGTTGCCCCAGGGGTAGGGTGAGGCAACAGTAGTTGATCAAAGTTTCACGTAAGAATATAGGAAATGCCTTGTTTTCTCAAGAACAACAAAGCCATGATTGGTCATGTTATTATAGAAGGATCCTCAAGTGGTGTAGATTTCATTATTTGTTCGTCATGACCCCTGGGGGTATGTTGACTATACATAAATATATAGGGAGAAATTTCATTAAAGCCATGATTAGTGAGTTCTCTAGCATGATATATATCTACATCCATAAACATACCAAAGAAAGTGTTATTTGACATTTTGGACCTATCATAGTGTTTCATAAGCTAAATGGTTCATTATTCATATATAGGTTAATTGTCTCAATTTATTTTGACAGATTCCCCAGAATACTACTATCCTATTGTCTAGAAGAGGAAAGAATCATCTCCTTAACAGGTTTTCTTTTCAATCTCTCACAAGGGTACATGTATATAGATTAACCCTTGTGTAAGCATTAATTTACATTGTAATTGTTTTTATATACCTAGGTATATACTTCAAGTCTTGTATACATGTATGTATCAACATATTCTTAAAAAAAGCAAATATTATTTGAATTTTAACACTTCTTGTGTATTTACAAGCTCAAGGACTCTTTATTTTTATATATATAGGTAACATGTAAAAGTATTTATTTATTTTTACAGATTCCCCAGTGCGCAATATATATCCAACCATTGTCAGGGAAAGGGAAGCATCATCTCCTTCCAGGTTTTTAAATCTCTTTTACCTACAGGATATTCAAGGTTTTGTAATTGAATGTAAAAGATCACATGTGGGACAGGACTCTGTAGGTCACCTGACCTATTGCTATCTGTATTCGTCCGTCGTCGTGTGTTCACTTTTAAACATTTTCACCTCTTTCTCTGCAAGCAGCAAAAACCAGACCAATTTCAACCAATTTTGGCATTAAGCATCAATGACTGAAGGGAAACAACAATTGTAAATTTTATGGTCCCCCCGTCCCCCCCAAAGACATTAAGGCTCAAACCACTAAAATTAATGCAAAAATCTTCTTCTTTACTTTTGGACATCAAGCAGTCACATAGTTGGCATGATTATAATTATCATTAAGACCTCTGCCAAAATTGTGAAATTCATGGCTCATGGCCCCTGGGCCAGGAGTTCTAGTGCTAGAAGGGGCTAAATAGATGATATGGTGAACATGCATTATTTCTTTGAAAATCTTCTTCTTTGTCCATGGGTGTTAAATAAACCTAAATACATAGTTCTGATGAGCAAGAATGCCTCTTTTAATTTCATGGCCCAAGGGTTAGGAGTTCTGGTGTTAGGGTGGGGCTCTAGTGATTATATTGTAAAAATACATTAATTCTTTGAAAGTCTTTTTCTCTACCCCTGAGTATTAAACAAAATAAGTATTTAGTTATGATAAGCAAAAATTGCCTCTTCCAAAATTGTAAATTTTATGGCCATGGGTCAGGGATTTTTGGTGTTAAGGTGGAGCTCTACTGATTTTTATAGTGAAAATACATTAAGCCATTTGTTTAAAATTAGTTTACAGATTTTAAAATGTGTCCATTTTCCGTCCTTCCTCCTGTCTGTCTGTAAACTTTTCTCATTTTCAACGTCTTCTCATCAACCACTGGGCCAGTTTTAACCCAACATCAATACCATACAGAGCAACAAAAACACAGGTCAGGGACTGTATAGTGATCCTATCTACATCACAGAGAACCGCAATGGAGATGTTATTGTGTCTGACTCGTGGCGTGGTGCTGTAGTGGTGACAGATCGTGACGGTAATTACCGCTTCTCCTACACAGGTCGTAGATCAGGATCAGGACTAGATCCACGTGGAATCTGTACTGACGCGCTGTCACACATCCTGGTGTGTGATGTTTGGACCGAGTCAGTACATATGTTAGATAGTGAGGGTCACTATCTGACAGCGATACAGACACAACAACACAGGATAGACAATCCATGGGGCCTGAGTTATGATGATGTCACTCACCTACTGTGGGTAGTGTCATACACCAACAAAGTCAACATATACAGAGTGGTAGATAGAGACTCTCTGACTGGTAAGTAACATTGTGCATAGTTATACTTCAGCACTTTTAGTTACATGCATTTCAATTGTTTTACAATACTGTGTGTACACAATATGATAAAGACAATTTGATAATTATTGGGTAAGCCATTACCTAATCATTTCACAGATTGTTTTCAGTTTAATATCACAACATGTTTAGTTTAGTTTGATGACAAGTAGACAAAAAATATTTAGAAATCTACACTGTGTACTGGGGTGACATTTTACATGTATATTACATAAAGTGTTCATTGATTGTAACATTTATAACTAAGTTGTGTCATCTTTTCAGAACTTTTTGTGTATGAATCAAATAGTTAATCATTTTATTGCAGTGTACACTTATTGACATAATACTTCACTACATGTAAATGTAAAAAAAGAAAAAAAAGGAGAAATGTTCCTGACTAGTGTACTGTAATCAAATCTAAATAAATTGTCAGCCTTATCAGTGATATGGTGGAACATTAAGAAAATAATTATTATGTGATAATGTTGAAGTGCTAAAAACATATATCTTAATTTCTTATGCATATTCCTATTTTCTTCTTAAAAGGTCTCCCTCTTGAGGATTTCAAATGCAGGAAACATCCAAGCCATCCTTTATCCCAGTTCTGTATCCCGTGTGACGTCACCTTATGTCAGATGTGCATCAGGACCTCTGATGATCATAAGAGACATGATGTTCGAGATGTAGAGAAATTATTCCGAGAAATGCACAAGAGAAAAGGTTCGTAATGATGCAGAATATGTTAAATAATGTGTAAAAATATAGACATTCATTTTAAGCTCTTCTGAGCCAAAGGCTCAAAAAGCCAATGCTATGGCCATTTGTGCGGTGTGCCTAAACTTTTTAGAATATGGGCAATAACTCAACAACCCCTTGGCCAATCAGTACCAAATTTGTCACAGGGTATTCTTGGCCCAAGGTCTACCTTTTGTACTAAAATAAGAGTTGGGACACTTAAACAAGGGGAGATAATCAGGAAAACCAAAACCAAAAGTACTGGTTGCTGAAAAATCTTCTTCTCCATAACCACCAGGCAGATTTACACCAAACTTACATACCTGAATCAGGATGTGTCGAGGATTAAAATTTGCACGGGGAATTACCCTGGGGCAAAGGTTGTGGTCTCAAGGTCACTTCAAAGTTGACGTAAATTTACAATTAATAAAAACGTGTATATTTTGCTTACTATAAGGACTAGGATCATCAAATCTTGTAAGTTGATGCAATGATATCTTACGACTTCACATCATGTTAACTGAAAAGTAGGTCACGGTGACCTATTTTTAGCTCACCTGAGCCGAAGGCCATGAAAGCTGAAAGTCATGTGGAATCATCCTTAGGTAGTGTAGATTCAAACTTGTTCAAATCATGACCCCCGGGGCTAGGGTGGGGCCAAAATGGCCGACCCAAGATTTACATAGGAATATAGAGGAAAAATCTTTAAAAATCTTCTTCTCAAGAACCACTTGGCCAGGAAAGACGAAACTCATGTGGAATCATACTCAAATAGTGTAGATTCAAATTTGTTCAAATCATGACCCCCTGGGGCTAGGGTGGGACCAAAATGGCCGAGCCAAATTTACAAAGGGATATATAGGGAAACTTTTTAAATTCTTCTTTTAAAGTACTTCAAAGCTATGATTATTGATATTTATATGGAATCATCCTCAGGTAGTGTAGATTCTAGTTTGTTCAAATGATGAATGCCAGGGGGGGGGGGTAAAATTAAAGCCCGATGTGTTCTGGTGAGCGCTGTGGCCCCTGGGCCTCTTGTTTAAATTTTGCGAGGATTTGTTTTCAAATTGATTTGAAGGCATATTTTTGACACTTTAACGCCTAGTAGGCCTAGAAAAAAAATTGTGTGTTTCGGGTAACCCGACCTACCCTAAAAAAATGCGCCGATCCTTTTTTTAGCTCACCTGAGCCGAAGGCTCAAGTGAGCTTTTCTGATCACATTTTGTCCGTCGTCCGTCTGTCCGTCCGTCTGTCTGTCTGTCCGTCCGTCCGTCTGTAAACTTTTCACATTTTCGACTTCTTCTCAAGAACCACTGGGTTAATTTTGACCAAACTTGGTACAAAGCATCCGTGGGTGAAGGGGAATATAAAATGTTAAAATGAAGGGCCAAGTCCCTCACAAGGGGAGATAATTAAGAAAAGAAAAAAATAGGGTGGGGTCATTAAAAAATCTTCTTCTCAAGAACCACTGCGCTAATAAGGCTAAAACTTATGTGGAGGCACCCTTGGATAGTGTAGATTCTAAATTGTTCAAATCATGACCCCCGAGGGAAGGACGGGGCCACAATGGGGAATCAAAGTTTTACATAGAAATATATAGGAAAAATCTTTGAAAATCTTCTTCTCAAGAACCACTGGGCCAGAAAAGCTGAAACTGATGTGGAAGCATTGTGGGGTAGTGTAGATTCTAAATTGTTCAAATCATGACCCCCGAGGGAAGGACGGGGCCACAATGGTGAATCAATGGTTTACATAGAAATATATAGGGAAATTTTTTGAAAATCTTCTTCTCAAGAACCACTGGGCCAGAAAAGCTAAAACTGATGTGGAAGGACCCTGGGGTAGTGTAGATTCTAAATTGTTCAAATCATGACCCCCGAGGGAAGGACGGGGCCACAATGGTGAATCAATGGTTTACATAGAAATATATAGGAAAAATCTTTGAAAATCTTCTTCTCAAGAACCACTGGGCAAGAAAAGCTGAAACTGATGTGGAAGCATTGTGGGGTAGTGTAAATTCTAAATTGTTCAAATCATGACCCCCGGGGGTAGGGAGGGGCCACAATATGTATTACAAGGGGGAAATCTGGTAAAGAACAATATGGCAAAAGATTCTCAGGTGAGCGATGTGGCCCTTGGGCCTCTTGTTTCGATGTCCGTTTTAATCCGATTAAATTTTGTTTTATTTCTAAGTAAAATCCGTTTTTATCAGGTTGTTACTTTTTCGTTCCTAAGAAACGTCTTTAAAACGCTTAGGCTTACAGTCAACATGAACGGAATTAAAATCAACATTCAAACGTTTTTTAGCTCACCTGAGCCGAAGGCTCAAGTGAGCTTTTCTGATCACATTTTGTCCGGCGTCCGTCTGTCTGTCTGTCCGTCTAGCTGTCCGTCTGTCCGTCTGTCTGTAAACTTTTCACATTTTTGACTTCTTCTCAAGAACCACTGGGCCAATTTCAACCAAACTTGGCACAAAGTATCCTTGGGTGAAGG